ATCTACTTATGGAAAACCATTCACTGAGAACATTGGACATATGTGGGGATACCTTGACTTACAGTTGCCTTACAGGCATGTTACATGTAAATGAGCTGTTTTACTTTTGGGGTGTTTTGTAACAGCCACAACACAGAAGGGTCCAGCAGGTCCACTCAGAGACAGATTCATCTGAAGGACTGATGAGCTGACCTATCTTGGCAAAGCAGAAATGGGTCTGTAGATCAATGCGCTGGACTGCAAAGTCAGTTGGAATCACAATGTTGGCAGTTCCAACTCATGAGCCACTCCTTGGAAACCCTATACAGGGTCACTATGAGTCGGAACTGACTCGATGGCACTTAACAATAACAACAATTGTTTTCCTTGTATTGTTATTTTTTGTGTGTGCTGTTGAGTTGGTTCCAAGTTATAGCGACCTTGTAGAGGGTTCCTGAAGAACAGCTGGTGGGTTTGAACCTCAGACCTTGTGATTAGAAGTCCATTGCTTATCAGGATCCCCTGAAAGTAACCAAACCAAACAAACAAAAAACCAGGAAGCCCGTGGCCACTGAGTTTATTCAAACTGTTAGTGCCCCTATAGGAGACAGTCAAACAGCCCCCATACGGTTTCTGAGGCTGGAGATCTATAAGGGGGCAGACTGCCTCATTGTTCTCCAGCGGAGCACCTGGTGGACTTGAACCACCGACCTTGTAGTTAGCTGCCCGATGCTGAACCCACTGCACTACCAGGGGATCTTTGCTGTATGAGGCATTTCTGCTCTGTAACACGTAAGGATGCTTGCTACCCACTGGAACCGACTCGATGGTACCCAAGAACTACAACCTCGGCATGAAGTGTTCATAACACACTTTTGTCATATGTTTCTTCATTGTTATTTCAGCCGACCCCCCTCCCACTCCACTTTGAATTGAACTTACGATTCTGTTGTTTGCTGTGATGTCGGTTCCGACACACCGCGACTCTGTATAGGGTTCTCGCGGAGGTACTGGTGTGTTCGAACTGCCGACTTTGCGGTTAGCAGTCTAGTGCTGATCCTACAGCATCCTGCCTAGTGGCACTGTGGGCTAAGCATTAGGCTGCTAACCGCATGGTGGGCAGTTCAAATCCGCCAGCTTCCTGTGATGATTTACAGTCTCGGAGACCCGAGGAGTCAGAACTGACTCGGTATCAGCGAGTTTCTTTTTTTGAGTTTATATCGAAGTATCTTCAGACAAAACAGAATTGATTTGCTTCATTCATTAAAGCGTTGTCTTTTCCCCCTCCCTCAGAGATACTGCGCCCACCCAATATCACCGTGACATGTAATACGTCCTATGCCCTCATGGAGTGGAAAATGTTCAGTTACTTCAACCAGAATCTAATGTACGAGCTTCAGATCCAAAAGGTCAGATCACATGCCATGGCTGGCTCTCTGTGTCCTCCCCAAACCTGTCCCCTTGTTGTTTTGCCGCAAACAAAGTCGTCTTCTACCAGATACACACACACGTCATCAGTCAAATGACAGACAGCCCTATCAATGGAATAATGGCCCCAGAGAAGCACACACGCCTTACAACAAGCCACTATTCCCAGCCCAAATGGCGGCACTCACCCAGGGATGAAGCCCGAAGACAGGAAGGCTTAGGGAAAACTGAAGAAGTGGGAGAAGCGATGTGTGCATGGATGGCTGCAAGGGAAAATCTGACCTGTAAACCTTCCCCCACTTCACAATAAAATGCTTATTTATAAATTTTAGTGCACACACTCACACAAAAATAGCAGGTGGAGCTCTGGTAGCGTAGTGGTTGCTAACCTTAACTTCGGCGGTTCGAAACTACCAGCTGCTCCACGGGAGAAAGATGAGGCTTTCTGCTCCCGTAAAGATTTACAGCCTCGGAAACCCTGCACAGGGTCGCTATGAGTCGGAACCGACTCTACGGTACTTAACAACAAGAACCCTGGAAGCAAATGCTTGCAATTCAGAGGTGGGACACCCAGTTTTGTAACTGTGAGCTGAAATACACCAAGGATTGTGAGGTTGATGCAGAACCGGGCAGTGCTTTGTTTGGTTGGACTTAGTGTCCTTGTGAGTCAGAACCGATTCAACGGTACCTAACAACAACAATATCCAGAATGTACGCCCACCGCTGATGTGGAATCAATTGTGACTCATAACAACGCTGTAAGACACAGTAGACGTCCTTCACAGGGTTTCCGAGCCCGGACATCTTGACAGTACAGACTTATTCTTCTTTCTGCCCCCAGAGCAGCTGGTAGGTTCGAACCTCCAACCTTGTGGCTATCAGCTCAATGCTTAACCCACTGTGAAACCAGGGCTCTGCTAGAATATACCATAAACCCTTGAAACTCAATACTGAGCTACCAGACACCAGAAGAGATTCCTGGGTGCCCCTGCACCAAACAAACAACTTTCCAGTCAGGGTCACAATAGATGGGTGCTGATAGAAAAACATCAGATCCCGGTGGCGCAGAGATTAGAGCACTGCGCTATTAATTGAAGAGCCCGTGGTTCCCTAGTAACTGAAAGGTCAGCGGTTCAAACCCACTGAGGGTATCTTTTAGCGAGAAAGATCAGATTTACACACATTATAAGGGACATCACCCATGAAGCTGATAAAGTAGAATCTGTATATGACCAAAAGGTTAGTCATTACCCTAAAGCAAAGCTAAGGGAGCAGGGAAATCAATCCAGAGATAATCAACAATTAGAATGCAGCTGAAGAGAAAGTTGGCCCTTCGTGGGGAATGTAACCAAGGTCTCTGAACACCCTGTGTGGAGATTGTTTCAAGGGAACAGATTTTGCTGTGTGAATGTTTGCCCAAAACAAACAATAAAATCCTATTAAGAAGTAACAAACAAACAAAAAACAGAACAAAGCCCTCAATTCTAAAAAGACATTTAGCAGGAGACATGGCGGATTTCTTGGGGAAGGGCCAAGCATTCACCCAATTTCTTGTCTTACAGGACACAAATCGCGCCCACCCGGAATCAGTGAGTGTTTCGGGACCACTGGGAGTTCAGATGCATTCCACAAAAGATACGCTCACTTCCTGACCCTACCATCTTGGTTGGAAATTGAGTCTATGGCTGGCTTCTTAAGAGATGTAAAACCATTGAAGACCCCAATGAGATGGATTGGCACAGTGGCAGGAACAATGGGCTTAAATGTACCAACGATAGTGCGGTTGGCACAGAATTGGGCAGTGTTTCCTTCTGTTGTGTATACGGTCGCTATGAGTCAGAGCCAGCTCGGCATCACCTCACAACAAAGTAGAGGGAGATGGAAAAAGAGGAAGACCCTCAATGAGATAGATTAGTGGACATCAGCAATCCTCAGAAGTAGCAAAGATTGTGAGAAGGACGCAGGACCGGGTGGTGTTTCGTTCTGTTGTGCACGGGGTCACTATGAGTCTAAACGGACTAGACAGAGCCTAACAACATCAATATTTCACCCATGGGGCTCCCCTCTCCTGATGGGTGCCCCTGGTTCTTAGAGGCACCGAGATAGCTGTTAGCTGTTGATGTTGTGTTTTTTATTAAGTGGATTTTGCTGTATGGCCTCACACAGGGAGCTCGGGCTGAGCAGGAAAGCTGCAGTCTCTGGCTGGGGCGTGGGTTGTGCTCAGGACTCTCCCAACCCCTCTCCCGACCAGCTGATGATGATCTTGTCTTGACTCACGTCAGGTTACCATGAGAAGGATAAAATTCTATGAGCTGGTGAACCCTGGAACGTTCACAGTCAGTATCCGCGTCAACAAGTATATGCATCCTGAGTTGACTTGGAGCGAGTGGAGCTCGCCACAGCGTTTTGGTAAGCAGAGTATTCCTTTGTTTCTGCCTCTGTACTGTGCTACACAGGGTCCCCGTAGCTGGTGTCAGCCATCCCTGTAGACACGTGTGCTGATGGGTCAAATACCCCGTCTCTCCCTGTAAGACTGTCCCGGTGTCTGACCTGCTCTTTGTATAAATGACAAGTGCTTTGTTTTGGGACTGACTGACCTACAACCTCGAGTGATTGGTTGCATTGAATTGTGGTATGGGGCACTATGAAAGGTGCTTACGTTGTCTCGGATTACTTTCCAGAAGGCATCATCGTAGTAGATTAAATAGCACTGAGGAGGTAACTCCCTCACTTGACATCAGGGAAGACGGTGACATTTCGGAAGATGGTTTTGTTGCGTTTTTGGATATTGCTCAAATGCACTAAGTGCATTGTGTAATTTGCAGATTACACAACGTGTAATTCACTAAGTGCATTGTGACTCATCGCAACCATATAGAACCCAGGAGAACCAATTTTCAAGGTTTCCAAGACCATAAATCATCACAGAAGTGGGCAGCCTCACCGTTCTCCAGTGGAGTGATGGGTGGGTTTGAACCACCGACCTTTTGGTTAGCAGCACAATACTTAATCTGCTGTGCCGCCAGAGCGCCTTATGGAAGCCTTGTTGTTTCTTGTTAAGTGACGTCGAGTTGGTTCTGACCCATAGTGACCCTCCATAGGGTTTCTGAGGAGTGGCTGGTGAGTTCGAACCACTGACATTGTGGTTTAAACGACTTTGCAGTCAGGCACATATTAAATTATAAAAGCTGACATTACTTTATGGAAAGTGATTTCATTTCATTACATTGTGTAAACTATTGCATTACATTATGGGAGGTGATTACATTGGATTACATTTTTTGCATGTGAATTGCTTATGTTATATTACATTATACTATATGTGAGATGTTCACATTACATTTGCATTACATTATGGAATGTGATTACATTTGATTACATTACATATGAAATGCCTGTTGCTATGAAGTGCCATCAAGTTGGTTCTGACCCATGGTGGTGGTGGTTATGTGCTGTGGAGTCGATTCCAACTCACAGTGACCCTATACGGGGTTTCCGAGGCTATATATCTTTACAGGAGCAGAAAGCCTCATCTTTCTCCCACAGAGCAGCTGGTAGTTTTGAACTGCTGACATTGCGGTTCACAGCCCAATTCGTAACCACTACGCTACCAGAGACCCGTAGCAACCTGCAAAGGGTTTCCAAGGAGCGGCTGGTGAACTTGAACCACCGACTTTGCAGTGCAGACTGACTCTGCTGTCCAGCGCATTTACCCACAGTGCCACATTACACAGAAAGTGCTCATATTACATGACATTACATTACATACTGTGATTACACATGTGGTACCATAGCATAAACACTTGACTGCCAGGTCAGTTTGAACCACAAGGTCGGAAGTTCAAACTCACCACACTCTGCTCAGAAACTCTATACAGGGTCGCTATGAGTTGGAACTGACTCAAGTGCCCTTGACAACAAAAACAATATTACATTACATTATGGAAACTGATTATATTACATACAGGTAAGGTTCTCACATACTACACAATATTACAAATAATCACATTACAGAAAGACATCACATTCCATACCATGTGGAGGTGTACCATTATATTACACGATATTACATAGAATCACATTGCACAAAGGGATTACATAACAGTGTATTACATCCCATGTGGAGGTCTAGCATCATATTACAGGATATTACATAGAATCACATTGCACAAAGGGATTACATAACAGTGTATTACATACCATGTGGAGATCTAGCATTATATTACACAATATTACATAGCATCACATTGCACAAAGGGATTACATAACAGTGTATTACATCCCATGTGGAGATCTAGCATTATATTACACGATATTACATAGAATCACATTGCACAAAGGGATTACATAACAATTTATTACATTGGATTGCATTATATGTACAGTTCTAGCATTATATTATATTACATATAATCACATTATACAAATTTAATACATTTGATTTTATTATGTGACATGACATGAAATGATACTACATATAATCACACATTATAT